CGGTGGGGCTCTGTTTTCACCCTTAATGTTTCCATCCTAAACATCTGGATCCAGCCACACCTTCCCCTGTCATCCTGCTTTCCCCAGGCTCCTATTTGTGCTTAGGTCATTCTAGAAGGCAAAGGGAAATCACTCAGTTCTTTCTATAGCTCTTTCTCAAAACTCTCTACTCTCCAAACTGTTCCAGTATTCACATTCCTCTTCTCCCCAAATAACTTCTTCTGAACACTGAGAAATGTCTACTGTGAAAGAAATCCATGCATTTTATCATTATGAAGCAGTATTATTTCATTTTCTGAGCTTTCTTTTCTAGAATTATAAAATTTAATCAACAATAAAGATATGATTAAAGTAATGGTCCATTTATAAACATTCTGATATCTTTATCAATGCCTATATGAGTCCCTTGTTTTGTAACATGTAATTATGCCTACCATCTTCTCTGCATTTGAATATGGCCCAAAAGTCATGAATCTCACAGATAAAATCCCTTTGTTTTACTGAAGCCTTTTTCTGCAGGCTTAGATGCCATTGGTGTATGGGGAAAGAGGGAGCATAGTATGTTCAAATAAAGTAAGAGTTGAGTGTGGGAATGGGGCAGAGAGCAGGTTGGCAGAAGGAACTTGAAATGGGAGGTTCATCAAAAACATCTTGAGCAACTTAAATGCACTAATGTGCTGGAGACACATCAGCAATGAAAACTGGCGAGATTATTAAAGGCTTTTTTCTACACAGAGCTAGGTAGTTTAAAGTTTTTCTTCTAGCTATTAGAAAGCATTTAATGGTATTAAGGAAAGAATTGCTATGACCTCATTTTCTTTTAATGACTGTTTATATTGTGGAGCAGGATTTGAAGCAGAAAAGATTACATAAAGTGATAATAGTCAAGTTACAACTTAAATTATCAAAATAAAGGACCAATGAGATGTCCAATCACAGTGTCAATGTGATTAATTGGGAAATGTCTAAAAGGCACAATAAATATATCTGCATGGTTAAATGATAGGAAATTATAATACTGGCAACTGTTTAATGAAGTTCTTATATGAAACTAAAAAATGACTTAATCTCACTGAATTAAAAACTTTATAACCCTAAACTAATAACTATTATAATTTTACAAATATTTTAAATTAAAATGATATGAAAATTATATCGATATTATGAAATGTTTGGAGGTTTTTAGTAACATTTACTCTATTTTCATAACTAATAATTTATAATAGAGCATAAATAAAATCAAGAGTAAAATTAATTCATTAAGATGAGACATTTACTTGGGGGAGAATTGACAATGTAGTCACTGATATTTTTATATTCTCATTTAATTATTTTATATAATCAGATCTTTCCTCTTATTTTTTTACAAATAATTTGTTAACAAGAAGAATAGTCACTAAGACAAAGTATCTCTAAATATATTCAATAAATGTAACATTAAATAAACTTACTCATATTTCAGAACATCTAAAATATAATTTTCTTGTTTTAACTAATGTAAGTAAACTTGTTTTTTAAAATTTAAAATATATATTCTTAAAACATATATGCATCTCTTATCAAAAAGTTTCACCCTTTGATTTTGAAATACCAAATAATTCAAGAATATGTCAGGCAGCTGTAAATACAGATGTTCTACAGACTCAGTGAATTCTTTTTATTTTATTTTATTGATTTTTTTAGAGAGGAAGGAAGAAGGATAGAGAGTTAGAAACATTGATCAGCTGCCTCCTGCATACCACCTACAGGGGGTGTGCCTGCAACCAAGATACATGACCTTAACTGGAATCAAACCTGGGACCTTTCAGTCCAAGGCCAATGCTCTATCCACTGAGCCAAACCAGTCAGGGCTCAGAGAATTCTGGAAACTTAGTATTGCCTTTCTGAGTCCACACTGATTTAATGCTTTGTGCCAGATACTTTTACAGGCATTGTCTTAACAAGTACCCTGAGAAGACGACTTTATAAATGAAGAAAACGACATTTTGAAAAATAAGCTAGTCTCAGATCACTTGACTCAAAATGGTGGAAATAACCATTTGAATATGGCACAGTTCTATATTGCTAAGATATCATTGCACATACTCATATCGCCATGCATAGTGATACAATTACAGCAAAAATAGGGGGGAAATTGTGCCAGATGTGAAATTTAACAAATGGTTCAGAAGGCAGAATCTTCCTTTCTGAGTGTGAGAAATACCCCACTTGCCTCATACCTAACGCACAGTCACTAGGAGGGCCTAAACTGGGTCATCTGTCTTGCAAGTTTACAATCCTCTAACTTATTGCCATGGCCCTCCAGAAGCTCTTAGAGCAGGAGCTACTAGACTGTATTTCACAAGATAATAGAAATGTCTCAGAAAACATTTCTTCCTATGCTGTAGAGATATCTCAGAGGATATGGCCGCTCTCTGGCTCAGTTCCAGGTACTTCCTTGCAGTTAAAACCACCCTTTGCAGAATTAATCATCAATATCGTTAAAACTGCAGATGGGGCCCTGTAGGATAGAGAAAGCTGAGTTGAGCAGACAAGCTAATAAGCTGGAAAAATACAGGCTGATACTGGCACACTCACAGGCACGGATTCTTTGAGTAATATGACATGGAAAACAGTCAATTTACCAAAAGGTTACCAGCTTATATATTTAACAAATAAAACAAACAAATAAAAAAATAAAGGGAAAGTCTAAATACCTTCTCTTTCGATAACATAAATAAGGTTGAAAAGGAAAAATACAAATAATTTCCACTAGAATCTATATAAAAAGTAAGATAATTATTTTATTTTTAAAATTATATGTTACATTCTATATTATTTTGTATTTTTTGAGGGGAGTAGATATATTTATTTCTTGGTAACATACATTAAGTGGCACTAGTTACACAGTAACTATAAAGTACCTAACATGAAACCACAGAATTGTCACTTTGCCACGACTGGACAACTTGGGCCTCTCTGGCTGAGCACATTTTGAAAAAACTGGATGCCCACTCCAGAGGTACGACAATGAAATCTGCTCTGGAGTAAAGCTCTGAAGTGGTACCTCACCAGAGTACCTGGCAGCTGACAGATGACAGGCAAAGCATTTAGTTGTGAAGTAGTTACAGCCTAACTCACAAAAGTTACTGTTTCTCTTTCTGGAAGGAAGCAAAAAAACAAAACAAAAATACTTAAGGAATTCGAGTGATAGCTTTGCTGGATAGATTATCTTTGGCTGTAGGTTCTTACTATTCATCACCTTGAATATTTCTTGCCATTCCCGTCTGGCCTGCATGGTTTCTGTTGATAGCTTCACTAATAAAAAAAAAAGCTAAAGGAGTTCATCAACACCAAACCAGAATTATATGAATTGCTGAAGGGGGTTCTTTCAGAAGAAAAAGTAAATAAAGATAAAAATTATGAACAACAAATTCGTAACTATCAACAAGTGAATCTAAAAACTAAGGAAATTAAAAAAAAATCTGATGAACAATATTAACTGTTGAATATAATAGAATCAGAGGTTTGGAAGGGGAGTGAACTGACGATTCCTGGGGAAAAGGGGAGAGGGGGATGTAGGAAGAGACTGAACATAAACTGTGCACCTATGGATGAGGACAATGAGGGATGGGGAAAGGGCAGAGGGTGGGGTGGGAACCTGGTGGAGGAGAGCAATGGAGAGGAGGGTGGGGGGTGGGGGGGAAGGAACATTTGTAATAATATGAACAATAAAAATTTATTAAAAAAAAAAAGAAGGGGGTTGAGGGCTAATCAAGGGTAAAGGGGATCAAGTATAGGGTGACAAAGAAGATTTGACTTTGGGTGGTGAGCATACAATGCAATATACAGAACATTTATCACAGAAATGTACATTTGAAACTTACAGTATTTTCCGGCGTATAAGATGACCCCCTAATTTTACAGTTAAAACATAGGTTTAGGCCTATATTCGCTGTATAAGACTAACCCCCACTTCCAAGGCAACATCAGTTCTTTTTTTTTTCTTTTTCCCTGTGCTCTCCGTTGTTTCTTTTTTTTTTTTTTAACTCAATCTTTATTGTTCATATTATTACAAAGGTTCCTCATTTCTTCCCCCCTCCACCACATCCCCCCCCTTGTCTTCATCCATAGGTGCACAGTTTATGTTTAGTCTCTTCCCGCATCCACCACTCCCCCTTTCCCCGAGAACAGTCAGTCCACTCCCCTCCCATATCTCCGACTCTACTACAATCAACAGCTAATATTGTTCTTCAGGTTTTTCAATCTCCTTTTTTTGTTGTTGTTGTTGTTGTTTTTAATTAATAAACTTTTACACTTCTAAGAATAAATTTTAAAATCTAATAATTTTAAACCTTGTTTTTTTTCTGCTCTAGGAATTGAGAAGCAAACTTGTTTACATGTAAACTTGCCCTTAGGCTATCAAAAGGTGTAGCCATTCAAGTGTAAATGGACACATTGTTTAATGTAGCTGCTGGTTGGAATTGGATTATCTGTTCTGGGTGGGAAGGGCTTGTCATTCCCTTTCTCCATTAAAATTAAGGTGTTAGCTTTAAAACCTCTTTTTGGCAAGAGACCTTAAGCTTTCAGAACTTTATATTTTTCAGATAGTAAATCAGTTACTTAGCATTTTCTCAAATCAATAATACCTCCATGTGCCCAAGGATAATAGACCACCTCTCTGACTCTGGCCAATCTGAGCAGGCTTTTTACTAGAACACAGTGTATCTTTGGGCACAGAACATGTATAATTTGCATATTATCTTATTAACCAATGCCACCCCAAATAAATGTAATTTAAAAAAAAAGTTAAGGAATTCCTTGAATTGGTGCCTGGTGTGTCCAGTGGGAGTGCACAGAATGGCTGTTAAACGCTGTCAGAGGACCCTGCTGGCCAGGTGGGCTGGATCATTAATAACCATGGTTGGCTTCTAAATACTGGTAGCAAGATGACTTCTGATTTGTGATCTTAGGTAAATATAGGTAAACGGAATCTAAGATTAATAAACAGCACTTTAAAACGGACTGCATGAGGGCTGTACTTGCAGCAGGTTCACAAAAAGAGGCACTCAGGTTTTTCTTTCCTTCCCACGTCTGGCTTTCAGAGCAGCTCCCGTGGCCATTTCCAAACCTCCCTCACTCCATCTATGGTCTTTGCTGCACACCCCATGTCCCCAAAAGCGCCAATCCTGTTTGCCATCCTCCTGCTTTCTTCCGGTTTCACCAGCTCCTGATTCATCTTGGCTAGCTCCTGCCCTGTGTGCTCATCATTTCCAAAATTCTTTTTTTTTTTTTTTACTTTAAATATATTTTATTGATTTTTTTACAGAGAGGTGAGAGGGCAGGGCGGGGTGAGGATGAGCTCCCAACTCTGCCCCGTAGGGCAGAGTTATCCCTAGCCCTCAAAACCCCTGGACTGGGAGAAATTCGCTCTCTCCCGCCATGCTGCCAGCGTGGGTGGGAGGAGCACATGCTAGCATGGAGAAGGCTCTTTTGTTTATTGCATCGGACTTGGCTCCCTGGTGGTCCTTGGGGATCACGAAGTCTGGGCATAACATATGGGGGCTCGTCCAGGATCCCCAAGGCCATGAGGAACCCAATCCGGAGAGTCTGACTGGCTGCAGTAGGTGTGTGTGTTTCTGTGTTTTTGTGTGCGCGCCCTGGAGGGACGTAAAACCCCTTGTGGAATTGGTGCCCGAAAACGCCTGGTGGACGCACCATGAAGGCCACGGGCAGGAGGATCAGAAGACGTTCTGACCTCCCGGGAGGGCCCGAGAGGGACCCTCGTATGGGGAGAGGAATGGCGTGAGCCGTTGCCTCACCTGCGGAAAGTGAGCCTTTCCCAGGTCTGAGTTTGGTATCTGTGGGCGACATGGCTCCCCAGGATGGAGCTGGCGAAGTGTGGCCGGCGTGTCGGTGCAGGATCCCCTGGCGGCGTTGGGTCGGAGGGGGGACTTCCTCGTGGCTCAGTCTGTGCGTCGGAGCGCGGCTGGGCAGTGGTGGCCTCGCTTGGGGAGCAGGCACCTGGGTTAATTTGCTGGCTGCCTGGGGAAGGGGAAGTGGAGCCAGGAAGCCGCTGGGGCGATCCGCACTTTCCCCTCGGGGGCCGCCTGAGTAGTGTGGCTGGGGTGGCCAAAGCAGCCTCGCTCCAGGGGCCTGGGCCCTAGGGGCCTGGGCCAGAGTGGAGGCATCTGGTCCCTGGCGACATCGGGTACTGGAGAAGAGCTCAAGGGCGAATCTCTGTGCTCAATAAAGTGAAAAGGCCAGTTCAAAATGAGTGCGCATAGTTTTGGGCTGTGCTTAAAACTTTTCTGTGTACAGAATGAGCCAGAATGAGCTTTAAAAATGGTGAAGATAACCGGGAGATAAATTAAAACTAGTTTCCCAAGTCATTGTAAGCAGCTTTTGAAATTCCCAGCCTTGAGGCAGAAACTAGATGGTATTGGCTGAGAGTCTTCAGGTAAAGAATGTGTTCATTTGCATTTGAATGCTGCTCCAGCTTCAGGGTGTGGCAGGTGATTGGTGGTGAAGCAGCCCACAATGGTTAGTCTTCCTTGTCATTGGTATCAGCTAAGCAGAGTCATATAGCTACTTAAGTATGAATTGTGATTGACCTATGATTTTCTGACATTGTCTTAAATCCTAGTAAACTGCCTCTTGTGTGGAGAGGTCTAGGGGAGGCCAGAGAGCGCAAGACTATTAGCTCTCCTACAAAGAGATTATTCAGTGCTTTGTTTGAACTTCAGAAAAAAATTTTGAGGTCTGAAAAAACTGTATGATTAGATCTGTTGCTGAAACTTTACCCTAAATAAGCAGGATGTATTAGAAATGTAATGTTATTAATCTAAAAAAAAAAATGCCAAATATATTTGACTTGCCAGCTTTAAAAGCTCAAAGTATAAATTGAATTAGGAAAAGTTAATTGCAGTAACTAGATGCCTAGAATATGGCAGGCTAACTGTATTATATGTGTTAAGAATAAGCAGTAATGATCAAAGATCTCAAGGATTGATATATTCTCATTTGTCAGATGAAAAAGTATGTAATGCTTACACTTAAAAAAATTATTTTAAGTCAGTTTTTCTGAAGTAATGTTTAATGTAACATGAAACTTTTATATTTGATTTGTTTTGTTTTGCTTTTCTCATATGCCATTGTTGTTGAATTTGGGCTTGTACCTGCATCTTGTATTTTGTTTAAACTTTGGGAATCATTTTTTGTTTCAGTCATGTGTATCTACTTTATAGGTTTAAGTAGACTTCATCACAAAGGTTTATAATTTATTTAGAATTGTGTTAAAACAATTATTTGTATGATTAACCCCCCGAGACTGCTTGGACAATTTTCACTGATGTTCTGCGTGGGGGGAGTAGAGGGGGCTTAGAAATGCAGATAGATCTGTATCTATAGGAAAAATGTGACATTTTAAAATTCAAGAGGAAAAATGTGACATTTTAAAATTCAAGCTGTTAGAAGCCTGGGAACAGGTACTGAACCTGCTCCCTCCTCCCTTGCCTTTTCTTTAAAATTTGAGGCATGGTTATGTATTTTTGGAAGATAAGATTTTTATAAAAATTATAAAGAGTATGTCCTGACAGGTTAGCTAGGAGAGGCAAGCCTGTTAGTTTCCTGATGGGCATGGGGGCACCCTATTTAGTCTTGAGAGAGCCAATAGGACCCGTACATCAGCCCAGGAAGCCACCGGACAAACTGCCTTGTTTTCCTTGGACATCAAGAAGGACTGTGGTCCTCGGAAGGAACACGTACTGGGGGAATGCAGCTGTTGAACTGGTCCAAAGTGGAACAACGGATCTTTGAGGAGCTAAAGAAGGCTCTCATCTCAGCAGCTGCCCAAGCCTTGCTGGACGACGCAGAGCCCTTCCATCTCTATGTGAGTGAGGTAAGAGACATTGCCAAAGGGGTTCTCACTCAGACTTTAGGTCCCTGGAAGAGACCTGTTGCCTATCTGTCTAAGAGACTGGACCCTGTGGCAGCAGGGTGGCCAGCGTGCTCCCAGGCAGTGGCCACCACAGCATTGCTGGTGAAGGAGGCAGATAAGCGGACTCTGGACAAGGAGCTAACCTGGATGGGTCAGGCTTTTCTCCTGGACCAGCCCTGTGTCCAGATTCAGAAAACTCTGGCCATCAACCCTGCCGGCCTGCTTCCAGATGATGATGATGGAACCCATTCATGACTGCACAGAGGTAACAGACGACAAGGTACTGTTCACGGATGGGAGCAGTTATGTTCAGGATGGGACCTGATATGCAGGGGCAGCGGTAGTCACCCTGGACCACACCATTTGGGCACAGTTCCAGAACTTTTTACCTTAATCCAGGCCCTTTGATGGAGACACTGTGCCATCCACAGAGAAAAGAGGGTTACCAACTACAATCAGAAGGAATTGGCTGAACAGAAGCAAGCCACTGAAGGACCAGATGGTTGATGGACCCTCCAGATGACAAGACTATTGGTCCCAGAAGCTCTAGGTCAGAGTTGCCCGGTGACACCAGGTTAAGTGTCACCAAGACTTCTGAACTTCTGTGAGGCAGAGTTGCTAGAAGTACTGTCTGTGCACAGGTAAATGCTAAGCAAGGTAAGGGGATCCCCCCTGGGAATTCAGGTCCCAGGGAACCTCCCCAGGAGAGCATTGGTAGGTGGATTTCAGAGATTAAACCACCAGCATTAAGGTCTAGTTTTTATAGACACTTCAGATTAGGTTGAGGTATACCCCACTATCAGATAACAGCCCCACCTTGGTAGCTAAGGTATCTCAGAGTATAGCTCTAGCCTTAGGACAGGTAGGTGCGACTCGGGAGGAAGGGGGTTTAACTAAATGTGTCTTAGAATCGGTGAAAATTGGACCAACCCCCTGTCCTTTGCCCTCTTGAGGGCCAGGTGTACCCCTTACTGGGACAAGTTTCCCCTTTTTGGGAGGGGATCATGTATGGTAACCATTTCCTTGCTCAAGTCCTTACAGGCTCTGCAGTTTGCTTGTTCCAGATGCACTGCCAGTGCCCACCGCAGACCCTGTAGCCCCGGAACTCAATGTGGGTAAAGAAATTTGCTGCCCAAGGACTCAAAGGGATGCTGCACTGTTATCCTGAGCACGCCCACTGCTGTTGAAGTAGATGGCACCCAGACCTGACTACATGACTCCCAGCTCCTGCATGACCTGGATCCTGGCAACTACAGGCCAGGAGGAGAACTGGTGCCTGCAGGAGGGGAACTGGACTTCAGTGAGGACAATACTAATGGGAACTGTGGTACTAAGGGTCTTGATAACTGTATTTGTTGTTTATGCTGAAAGGAAGTAGGCTGCTGAGTCAATGATTTGACTAGGCACATTAGACAAGGGGGGAATGAGAGGGCAGGGCAGGGCGAGGATGAGCTCCCAACTCCACGTAGGGCGGAGTTATCCCTAGCCCTCAAAACCCCTGGACTGGGAGAAATTCGCTCTCTTCCACCATGCTGCCGGCGTGGGTGGGAGGAGCACATGCTAGCATGGTGAAGGCTCTTTTGTTTATTGCATCGGACTTGGCTCCCTGGTGGTCCTTGGGGATCACGAAGTCTGGGCGTAACAAGAGGAAGGGAGAGAGATAGAGAGCTAGAAATGTCCATGAGAGAGAAACATCGACCAGCTGCCTCCTACATGCCCCCCACCGGAGATGTGCCCGCAACCAATGTACATGCCCTTGACCGGAATCGAACCTGGGACCTTTCAGTCCGCAAACCGACGCTCTACCACTGAGCCAAACCAGTTTCGGCCATTTCCAAAATTTTTGTTCCCAACCAGGATGATGGGCATACTGGGACAGAAACACTTGACTCCCGGAGTCCATGTTTCTGGGATGTTTTCTAAACCATCAGGGCTGTCAATGGAGAAACTCATCAGGATAACATCAGTGTCTGGGGAGGAGAGGGGTCTCAAGCCATCATAACCCTCCTGCCCAGCTGTGTCCCACAAAGCCAACTTGACCTGCTTTCCATCCACTTCAGTGTCTGCCACGTAGTTCTCAAACAAGGAGAAGCATGCAAGTGTGGCCATGGGCTCCATCACCAACAATCACCGATTTCTTCTGGATGACAGCCAGTGCTTACACATGTGCTGCAAGACCCATGCGCGGCCAAAAGCAGAAAGTTCTACAAAGTGCCTTGAACTTCACAGATGAAAGACATTCAGGAGACGCTCCAACTCAGGCCTTTCTACACCCACAACGCCCACAACAACGGTCCCTGAGTCACAAGCTGGGGACTGGGGCAGACGGCTAAGGAGGTGGCAGACTAACTAGAGAACCACGGAGGAAGGCGGGCAGCAGGCGGGGAGCCAATATTATTTTGTACCAGAGGCCCAGCCCGTGATTGAAATCACACAAGGAGGCAGCCTGCGATTTTTTAAAAAGAGAATAATAGATAAGGTTGTTAGATATGCTGATTATTATGGACTGAATATTTGAGTCCCCCCAAAATTTAGATGTGTAAACCCTAACTCCCAGAAATTTCATAATAAAATTTCTGAAACTTACAGAACAATGAGTTTTTATGAGTCTCATCCCACAGCCTGGACCCCCTGCCTATGTCTGCTCTGGGGCTGCCCTAGCCACCACGTCAGCTCAGCCAGGCCCCCTGCCTCTGTCTTGGTCTCTGTTCTCAGCCTCACCTGCACACGCAACCTCCTCCTGTCTGGTCATGACCTGTTACGGGAGTCCTGGCCTAATTTGTATATTACCTCTTTATAATATAGATTAGTTTCAGGTGTACAGCATAGTGACTAGAAAATCATATATTTTACAAAGTGCTCCTCCTGATATTTCCAGTACCCCCTGCCACCAACATAGTTATTACATTATTATCAATATTATTATGTATTCCCTATGCTTTACTTTATATTCCTCTAACTATTTTGTAACTACCAATTTGTACTTCTTTTTTTAAAGTTGATTTTAGACATAGAAGATGGGGGGGGGCGGAGAGAGAGAGAGAGAGAGAGAGAGAGAGAGAGAGAGAGAGAGAGAGAGACATACATTGTTGCTCCTCTTATTTATACAATCAGTGGTTAATTCCTTTAGTATGTGCTCTGACCAGGGATCAAACCAACAATCTTAGCAGGTGAAACAGGATAATGTTCTAACCAACTGAGCCACCCAGCCAGGCCCTTTTCCTTTTTACTCTATTCACAGAAGGCAAATTCTCCCAAATGATTAATAAGTAACAATAAGTAACACCATTCATGTATTTCCATAAAAATAACTTATAGAATATGGGAAAACATGTAATTACTTTTACTGCTTTTATGTGCTTTTATGTATTATGAGGGAAACCATTATGAAGAGAGAAAAGTGGAGCTACGAGACCTCATGATTAGAGAGAAATAAGGCAGAGTGACTTCCCTTTATCCCCAAGCATTCTTCCCTTCCATCACATACAATCCCAATCCCGTTTGATGTGTTAATAATTTTATAAGACTTGAACAGTCAGCCCCAAGTCTTCCAGACCAGAAAGAAAATTTGGACAGCAACCAACATAAAACATATTGAAAATAGCATTTCAGTATCCCCAGATTATTAAATCATTTATTCATCACAGTGATTGAACATGCGTTTAATTCTGATGTACTCAACAAATGTTAACTATTTTCATTACTAGGCACTTTCTGCAAAGAAAGGGCAGTAAAATAAGGAAGTGCATTGTTTCTGGAGAATTTAAAAGCAATGATAAAGCTGACTTAAAATTAACCTGCTATTTATTATTGCAGTATGCCAATAATTCTAAACAACATCAGAGATAAGCACTCCTCAAAAAACTTCTGTTGTTCTCAGCTCTAAATAATTGCACAGGTGACTTAGGATCCTTTGAATTAACTTTTAAGTAGAATACAATAATAAAAATTCTACTACAAAGTTAATTTAAAGACTTCTCAATCCCTGATATATGCAGACACAACTACACATTCATTTTCAGAATAAATTCATAACAATTCTGAATCATTCAAAATCTCTTTGAGTGTCATTCACAACCCTTGTGAAGCTATATATTCCTGAGTTAAATAGTAGATTCAAAATAAACAATGATAGCTCATAATGGAAAAGATGAAGAAGTAGCACTTGAGCGGCTTCAGTCATTCTGTGGCACCACTTAAAGTTTTCTTCTGTTTAAAATTTCTGAAACTTACAGTACAATGAGTTATCTCATCCCAACCTAGATTTGTGTTTGTGATTTTTTGTCTAGTTTAATATTTTTGTTTGTTTTTTTTTTGTGACAAAAACTTTGAAATTAGAATGAATAAAAAGTATTCTTTACTATGTGCAAAGATTGATTGTCAAATCTGGCTAGACAATCTGTTAAAACTTTATAAATAAAATAAATTTTGACAAAGCTATTGACAAATGGATGGCGTAGGCAACAGAAATTAATTTTCTCACAGTCTTGGAGAGTAGATGTGCAAGACCAAGGTTCTGGCTGATTCAGTTTCCAGATTTTCCTTCTGGCTTGCAGATGACTGATTTCTCCACTCTTACCTGGTCTTTCCTCAGTGGATTTACATAAAAAAAATAAAAAAAATAAAAAAAATAAAAAAAATAAAAAAAATAAAAAAAATAAAAAAAAAAAAGGTCTCTTGCCGAGACCAGTTTGGCTCAATGGATAGAGCGTCGCCTTGGGGACTGAAGGGTCCCTGGTTCGATTCCGGTTAAGGGCATGTACCTTGGTTGCGGGCACATCCCCAGTAGGGGGTGTGCAAGAGGCAGCTGATCAATGACTCTCTCTTATCGATGTTTCTAACTCTCTATCTCTCTCCCTTCCTCTCTGTACAAAATCAATAAAAAATAAAAAAAATATTTAAAAAGAAAAAAAAAAAAAAAGAGGTCTCTTCTTATAAGGACATTAATCCTATCAGATCAGGGCCCCAATTTATGAGCTCCTTTGAATATAATTACTTCCTAACGTAAAACCACACAGGGATTTAGGATTTACATATATAAATTTTAGGAGGACTCAAACATTCAATCCACAATAATCAGCATATCTAACAACCTTATTTATTATTCTCTTTTTAAAAATACATTGATTGCTCAGGGTGGGAGGGGGTGGAGAAGTGCATAGAGAGTATAGATAGTGGCGAAAAATAAAATAAAAATACATGAATATGTCAATTGTACTTTAATAAAAAATGAGTGTGTAGCCAATCAAAAATACATTTATATAATTTTAAAATAATTACTTTTTTATATTTGCACTGTAATATTGATTTTATTTATTACTTTTGTACTTATAGGCGTGTATACAAGTCCTTCAGTTGATCTCTTATTTCCCCCAGATCTCCCTACCCTCCCTGCTGTAATTTGATAGTCTGCTTGTTGCTTTACTGTCTCTGTATCTATCTTTTGGTTCATCAGTTTATAATGTCAAGAGAAAGTTTTTATGGCCGTCCTTTTTTCTAACCATTATTTTTCTTTGTTTCATGAGTGACTATTACAGGAAGTAATTTTTTAGTATAGACGAGCTATATGAAGCATCAAATGTGCTATGTATGCCACTGATTATTCCTATTATCACAGTCCTTATAATCACCTTTTTAAGGCATAGGTCAAATTTTTTAAATTTTAGTTACAAACTCATGAAATTTAACAGTACCTGACATATTGTCATCCATTGCAGTCATTATATAATACAGGTGGAAATAATCCACTAAAAATAAACTAATAATATAATTACTTCAAAATAATAAGTCTTTTAAAATTTGAGAGAAGCTGTCATCTGAAGCACAAGCAAAACTATTGACCATTGATAAGATTTAAAGAAAGATAAAAATATATTCTCTCATGGAGTTAGGATTACAGCTATGGAATAAGTAAATTAAAGCATGCCTGTGAGGTTGTTTCTCTTTTTCTCAGTGAAGTCTGAGCAGTCCTTCAGCTAAAATCTGGTAGTTGCTGAAAGGAGATGTTACATAGACTACAAGGGAGTAAATAGGGACCAGAATGTGAATGAAACTGTAGAGCAGATGATAGGGGATCAAAAGATTTATAAGCAGGGGGATGCAATGATTAACTCTATGTTTTAGAAAGGTAACTGTGACAATGTGAATGATGGAGTTGAGACTGGTTGATATATAACAGCCCATACTTGAAAAGGGCTCCATGCTAGGGCATTGATAGGAAAGATTTTGTTGAGGTGGGGTGACAGTGGGGGAGCAGGCTGAGAGAGCTAAGAAATGAGAGGGACATTTGGGTGTGTGGGTGTATGGGTTTGCATATTTATCTAAGTCTCCTCAAGAATGTAAACTCCATAAGGGCAGGGACCTTATTTTGTTTAATTAAATTTCCCTAGGCTCAAGTTATTTTTTTAATAACAAAATTGCCTATTTGTTATATATATTGAAGTTTTATTTTGGTCCTTTCAGTCCACTGTAATTCTTTTTTAAAAAATATATATATTTTAAACTGTGCACCTATGGATGAGGACAATGGGGAGTGGGGAAAGGGCAGAGGGTGGGGTGGGAACCTGGTAGAGGAGAGCAATGGTGGGAGGGGAAAAAAAAAAAAAAGGAACATTTGTAATAATATGAAAAATAAAAATTTATTAAAAAAACAAAAAACAAAAAAAAACAAAAAAATAAAAATAAAATTATTAGATTTTAAAATTTAAAAAAAAAAAAAATATATATATATATATATTGATTTTTTACAGAGAGGAAGAGAGAAGGATAGAGAGTTAGAAACATCGATGAGAGAGAATCATCGATCAGCTGCCTCTTGCACATCCCCTACTGTGGATATGCCCGCAACCAAGGTACATGTCCTTGACCGGAATCGAACCCCGGACCTTTCAGTCCGCAGGCCAACACTCTATTCACTGAGCCAAACCGGTTTCAGCTCCACTGTAATTCTTATGATGATGCTATTTATTCTGTTATATTTTTCATCCTTTCTTTACTCTTACTTTTAATAATTATTACCCTTACTTTCCAGATTTTTTTATCATTGCTTTTAAATAATTATTCATGATTCCATATTTTTTACTCTTACTTTTAAATAATTATTCATAACAATAATAATCTAAGGTAAATTATAATAATATAACATAAAACAAAACATAATAACAGATCATAATATTCCACGAGATTAAATTATGTATTTATTTGTGTTTGTCTTCTCCCACTAGAAATATACTCTATGAGGACAGTTATTCTTTGTGTTGAAATTAGTTTCTTTTCAC